GTTGTTACAGCCTTATTCCAAAATGGATTAAATTAATTTCTTTCCTCAACATTCTACAAACAATACCCCATAATGACATCATGAAAGACGTTTGTTTTGAAAACTTTGCAATTTATTAAAATAAAAAAAAAACAAAAAAAATCACATGTACATAAGTATTCACAGCCTTTGCCATGACACTCAAAATTGAGCTCTGCTGCATCCTGTTCCCACTGATCATCCTTGACATGTTTCCACAACATGATTGGAGTCCACCTGTTGGAAATTCAGTTGATTGCTCATGATTATGAAAGTTATAAACCTGTCTATATAATGTCCCACAGTTAACAGTGCATGTCAGAGCACAAACCAGGCCATGAAGTCCAAGGAATTGTCCATAGACCTCTGAAACAGGATTCTATCAAGGCACAGATCTGGGGAAGAGTACAGAAAAATGTCTGCAGCATTGATGGGCTCAATGAGCACAGTGGCCTCCATCATCCATAAATGGAAGAAGTTTGGAACCACCAGGAATCCTCCTAGAGCGGGCTGCCCGGCCAAAATGAGCGATCCAGGGAGACGGGCCTTAGCCAGGGAGGTAACCAAGCACCCTATGGTCACTCTGAAAGAGCTCCAGCATTTCTATGTGAAGAGAGGAGAATCTTCCAAAAGAACAACCATTTCTGCAGCACTCCACCAATCAGGCCTGTATGGTATAGTGGCCAGACGAAAGCCACTCCTCAGTAAAAGGCAAATGGCAGCCCACCTGGAGTTTGCCAAAAGGCACCTGAGGGACTCTCAGACCATGAGAAACAAAACTCTCTGGTCTGATGAAACAAAGATTGAGCTCTTTGGCCTGAATGCCAATCATCATGTCTGGGGAAAAGCAGGCAGCGCTCACCAACTGGCCAATACCATCCCTACAGTGAAGCATGGTGGTGGGAGCATCATGCTGTGGGAATGTTTTTCAGCGGCAGGAACTTGGAGACTAGTCAGGATTGAAGGAAAGATGAATGCAGAAATGTACAGAGACATCCTTGATGAAAACCTGTTCCAGAGCGCTCTGGACCTTAGACTGGGGTGATGGTTCATCTTTCAACAGGACAACAACCCTAAGCACACAGCCCAAAGGACAAAGAAGTGGCTATGGGCCAACTCTGTGAATGTCCTGGAGTGGCCCAGCCAGGGGAGGACTGACAACTCATGGGGCCCCCAGTCAATCAGGGATCATGGGCCCCTGTGTCCTCACCCAGACTCAAACCACACCCAAAAAAGCCTATGAAAGGTACTAAGGGCATTTTATTGGGCCCCTACTGACCATGGGCCCTCGGGCAGTGCCCGGTTGACGAATGGTCGGTCCGTCCCTGGGCCCAGCCAGAGCCCAGACATGAACCCGATTGAACATCTCTGGAGAGATCTGAAAATGGCTCTGCACCACTGCTCCCCATCGAGCCTAATGGAGCTTGATTACTGCAAAGAAGAATGGGAGAAATTGCCCAAAAATAGGTGTACCAAGCTTGTAGCATCATACTCAAAACGACTTGAGGCTTTAATTGGTGCTAAAGGTGCTTCAACAAAGTATTGAGCAAAGGATGTGAATACCTATATACATGTGTTTTTTTTTTGTTTGTTAGTTTTAATAAATTGCAAAGATTTCAAAACGAACTTCTTTCATGTTGTCCTTATGGAGTATTGTTTGTAGAATGTTGAGGAAAAAAATTAATTTAATCCATTTTGGAATAAGGCTGTAACATAACAAAATGTGGCAAAAGTCAAGCGCTGTGAATACTTTCTGGATGCACTGTATTTATTTTATATATATACTCACTGTATTACCTGATCTACAGTCAATCTCTTGCATCCTTTTTGAACAAAGGAACCAATTTATTCCAGAGTTGATTTAACTCCCTATTAACCACTTAGAGTCCAACTAAACTATTTATTTAGGCCCCAATGAAGGGGGGACCTTATGAACTTGAAACACTTTGACTTGTCATCTTTGGACTTCTATGATTAAATAAATTTACTTGGACTTCTATGCTTTAAGAGTAGAGCCCTTATTCTTCTTATAACATCCACTCTTCTGTTCCAGAATCAACTAGAAAGTTCCTCCTGAGCTTAAAAGAAGTGATACCTATATATTAAAGCGGCCAACACTCTAAACTGGTACCTTTACAGCTAGTGTATTATAATCAGAAAAAGTAGTGCAGCGCTAAAAAAATCATAAATCAATTAAATATTACTTAAATAAATACATAAATCATGCAAAAACCACACACAAAAAAACAATAAATGGTGATAAGATCAATATTGATCTATTTGGTGTCCAGACTATCTAAAGTGCCCAAAAACTGCATTCTGAGGTCCTTTCCATGGCCTCTCTAAAGTGCAATCAAATACCACACAAATAAATTTGTGTAAACAAAATAACCCCTCAACACCTCCTACATAAGTAGGTCAATGATGAATCGCCTAAAATTGGGGATATAACACACAAAGTGACTCATGTGAAATAAATAAATACAATGCAAACCAGTGACCAAACTAATAAATGAATACAAAAATTCAACCATATGATAAGACAAAAAATCTATATGTAAAATAAAAAATATATGCAATTTATAAAGTCTCTAAATGTCCTTTATTCTTCCAATAAATTGTACTTCAAAGAAACTGCCATGCAGAGTGAAAACTTTGTGAAAATTGTGATCGTGTTCCAGACATTCCTGCCAGACAGCAAAACAAGGTCCTGGACCTCAATTAAGCAATCAAGTTTGGTCTAGGACCTGTCCCAGCCCGTGACTAGAATAAAAGAGCAAACATGATGAGATCATCATTCTGCTCTTTCCTCTGGTCAGGAAACTCCCTGTGTCAGATGGTCAATAAAAATGCAAAGAAGCAGAGCCTAATTAGCTTAAAGTGGTGAAATGTACAGTACTATACATAAGGCTGATATAGGAAAGGTTCACACACTATTTCCAGCTGCATTCAACTAACGGCTCCTACATGACTAGTCCATGCTACTGTCTAAACAAGTAACAAATCCAGCTACTACGTATTTCATAGTACATAAATTAAACAGAAATTGTCTTTTACCTTTTATGACTGAGCCAAAATCCACCTCTCACTTGCTTCCCCTGCCAGACACTGTAGCTCACAGTGGGGGAGGGTTTCAGCAACAGAGGCTGTGTTGTCCATCCAGAAAGCACTGAGCAGACTAACAGGTGCTGATTGATAAGCTACAGACTTCTGAATCTGCAGTGACAATGTTGACAGCCACAACCCCTACAACATTTTTTCATCCAACTATAGTTCAAGCAGCGACAGCCTATGTGGGAGAAGCAACTCTGCTCAAATTCAGGAGCAGTGCAGCATTGTTGCCACACTATCCCTGGAAGCCGAATTAGGTGGACTTCATGGGCACGCTTAACAGGCATTTTTCAGACATTACAGGGGACTAGGAAAAAACTGTAAACGCAGATGGACTTTTAATTGAGCAATTCAGCACATATTTTTTAATGGGAGGTCATAGTTCTACTTTAATGTTTTTTATTTAATCCTTAACAATTTTAAATGGTGACTTTTATATCAGACTGGAGTTAAAGCAATCATTCTTAAATGTTCTAACACAGATCAACCAAATAGAATTTGTCATGTACTGGTCTGTACATGAGTTCTAACTGAATACTAACTGGGTGCACACATGACTAGCATTTCATATACCCCTTTATTTTTCTGTCTGTGAGTTTTATAAAAGAGAAAGCTAGGGACCAGAGGCTGCATGAGGGCATCATGTTTTTAAAATTAGTTTATGCTTGAGAGGGTAAAATAAATAGAGAACAGTGGCAAAATAAACCTGCACCAAAACAGGATATTGATTACAAATCCACAATGACCTTATACAACCTGTGATGCTCATACCTTGTTTTGAAAAAGACAATAATTCAGATGGTTTCGACATTGACTCACAAAGAAATACTGTCATACATGTACATTTGATGTTACATGTGAGAAGTTACTGAATGGAGCAGATAAAGCAGAACCTTGTGCAGTGTGATATTTGGTAAACTGAGGCCCATGTAAACTATGGCTAAATACATGTAATGAGGAATAAGGAATGCAACTGAACATTCCTTGAATTGAATGATTTATAACACTACTAATACATGCAGTGAACAAAAATGGAGATGGGGCACATGAAATATGGAACAACAGGACTGAAAATGTTTAATTATATAACATTTTAATAAAAATAATTTATATTTGGTAATCCATTCTTGAAGTCATAGAAGAATATGTAATGCAGAGGATGTACAAAGGTTCAGCTAGAGAACACCTGGTGACAGAATGGTGGGAGTTACATCAAAAGTAGAGTACAGCCATACTTCCTGTACCATTGTCTGAAGAATAGACTACACAAATAAAACATAGATAGTATACAGTATATACCATATGTTTTAGTAATTCTATAAATATAGTGTACCTAAATTCAAGCTGATAGACACAATTATGGATCTGATTTGTGACACTGAAAGCTAGATTAAAAACTTTGAACCACAATAAAGTAATAACTTTTCAAATTTCAAAAGGAAGTGGAAATAACTACTTGCTGTAGAAATAATATCTAATTTTCTTTTGCTCTAGTTAAAAACAATACCAGTTTGCATGAACAAAGGTGATAATCATATGTCTGTTTTGACATAGCACTGTTGAAGGTTATCCTAACATGGCCACTCTAGTGAAATATTTATTACAGGTATTTATATAGCGTCAACATAACTTTACATATTGTACATTCACATCAGTCCTTACCCTCAAGAAGCTTACAACCTCTAATTCACATTCATACTTGCACATACTAGGGCTAATTTAGACAATTAACCTACAAGTATGTCTTTGGAGTGTGGGATGAAACCAGAGTACCTAGGTGCAAGAGAATTAGACTGTGATAAATATATTTCTTGTAGCTGTGTATACAAGCATTTATACAGTTCAGGCATAACTTGTTAATCTTGTTACAGACATGCACATTGGAATGTGAAGGACAACTGCCATCTGCCAAAGCCTGGGCAACCTGCAAAGAGCTTCTTCAAACAGCCAAGGAGGACAATGCATCAGAAGCTGAGAAAGAGATAGATGATAGCCACTTACTAGCCAAAAAATATGGTGGATTTATGAAGCGATATGGTGGCTTCATGAAAAAGAAAATGGATGAGCTGTACCATACCGAACCAGAGGAAGAATCTACAGGTGGAGAGGTTCTTGCTAAGAAGTATGGAGGTTTCATGAAGAAAGAGTTTGACAGTGATACTTCAGATCTCCTCAGAGAGCTTTTAGGTACTGGTGCAGATGCTGACAGTGACACACCAGGAGAAGTGAACAAAAGGTACGGAGGCTTCATGAGAGGTTACAGAAGAAGTCCAGATGTTGAAGATGAAGCTAAAGAGCTGCAGAAGAGATATGGTGGCTTTATGAGAAGAGTAGGCAGACCTGAATGGTGGCAGGACTACCAGAAAAGATATGGTGGGTTCATGAGGCGCTTTGCTGATTCTTTTCTTCCTTCAGATGAAGACGGTGAGAGCTATTCCAAAGAAATCCCAGAAATGGATAAAAGATATGGTGGATTTATGAGATTTTAGTTTAATTTGCTCCTACCCCAGATTTATTGAAAAAGACTGCCTCATTGACCATATTTTATTGTAATGTGTTGCCTGCACTGTACAGTTTTTTACTGTCTTAGTTAACAACGCAACTCGTACTCTGTTATATCAGGCTCTGTGTTCTTTATAACTCAACAAAATCTGTTTGTCACATTTATGTTTATACTGTAGGTATTATGCTGAAAATATTTTTGTTACTGTATTTTTTTCTTTTAAATGGAATACATCTACCAATGCTTATTGTATATAAATAAATTATTCATCATATCTGCACAGTGTATGGCTTGTCACTTCTATCTCTACAGATTATTGTGCAAAAATACAAATTCAGATTGTCAATTATTTTGCCACTCTTCCCAAGGCTCCCTTGGTATATGCTTCGACAATCATTTCTCCCAATTGCAGCTTCTGGCTACTGGGGTCTGCAAAATGCACAAAACAGCTTTGAAAGCCAATTCTGTACACCTTCCTGAGAAGATGAAAGAGGAGAAATTCACCATGAGGGAATTCAGGAGTTGGGAAACACAGCTTATCTCCTAGCAGGGGGTACTCTAATAACACAGTCAGTAGATTACCTCCAGGTGAACTCCAGGCAAACAGCTATATATATGTTTTAATACATATATGGCAACTATTTTACCTGCCAAAGGATTTGTATTTCTGTCCCCTCATTCTTGAAATTTACAGAGAAAGACAGTAGCCCTAGTTTGGTGACCTGACCACTGCAATTAAAGTGGTTCTAAAGGCAGAATAATTCTTCCATAAATGCATTATAAGCTTCCCCCAGCCCTTCCTTATACTTACCTGATCTCCATCCAGCGATGTGCATGAGAGCAGTGGCTCTCTTGTCTCTCTCTCTTGCTTTCTTCTCATTGGACAGAGAGCCAGCAGTGGGAGCCATTGACTTCTGCTGCTGTCAATCACAGCTAGTGTCCAGAGAGCAGGGGGCTGGGCCAAGCCACGCTTTGTGTGTCCATGGACACACAGAGCCAGCTCGGGAGCCAGCAAGCATGAGCGCTCATTAGCCAGCACGCAGCTTGTTATGGGGAGAGTGCCAGGAGCACTGGCTGGGGACCTCAAAACAGGAGGAATGGGGCTGCTCTGTGCTCTATGCTATGACATATTTATTATTTGGAAAACAAAAAATGTTGTCTTTAGACTCCCCTTCCTGTCTTTAGCCTGGCAATGGATAGTAAAGGAGAGGCAGCACACAAGTAAATCATCTCTCTGCTTGTTATGCTTGTACCTCCCAACAGCAAGTTCCTTCTCAACAGATGAACACTACAGTAGACCTTATCAGCTTCTAATACGGACTCTTCTTCCTAACTCTGTGCACTGTCTTACAATGGAATGCAAGAGGGTGATTTCAAGTCAAATTTAGGTTATTGTTTTTGCAAATACATTCAATAATCATTTAATTTATACATAACTAGACTAATTGGTGCTTTTTTTGTCTGATGTTTAGCTTTAAATCAACCCTTGCTGCCACCTGCAGTCTGCAAAAAAGGTTGGAGAGTCATTTCTGGTGCTCTAAGCATACACTGGTAGCCAGAAGCTGCATTGGTTTATGTAATGCCTATATCTGTATATCACTTCCTGCTCTGGAGGGAAGAGATGATGAAAGGAATATTTAAAAGAAACTGCAGAACATATGCTTTTGTAGAATAATTCTACTACTAATCCTAAAATATTTTTTACATATAATAGGTTTGATTACCTATCCAAAATACAATTTTATACCTGCATGATAGTAAGAGTGGGTTTAGTTTGAAGTTCTATTAAGAAAAGGATAATTTGGAGGGAAGTATAGCAAAGAGTCTCCCATAGCCCTCATGCACACTTGACGTTTTTGCAGCTGCTGTTTTTGGCTTTTGAAGTTTTTTTTCTAAAGCTAGTAAACCCCCCCAGTATGTTATCCTATGTGTCCATGCACACATAGACTGTAATCAACGTTTTTTGGCTGGAAAAAAAACTCCAGGACTAGTGGGTTTCTAGAGGAGTTTTGTAGCTGTAAAAACGCTCTAACGCTGAAAAACGTGGCAAAATGCAGCAAACCACTTAGACTTAGCCTTCATGCACACAGGATGTTTTGATAATGCTGGTAACATTAGCTGTGTAAATTCACGTTAAAAATGTGAGTTTGTCAGCTTTTTTTTAGCGTTTTTGCATTAGAGTTTAGCTGCGTTTTGCCGCGTTTTCCCACGTTTGCATTTTTTAGCATTTTTTTACCAAAAATAATTTTTTGGGGGTCTACAAAAGTCCAAAAATGCCACTTTGCGGCATTTTACCACGTTTTGCCATGTTTTTCAGCGTAAGAGCATTTTTACAGATAAAAAACTCCTCTAGAAACCCACTATTCCTGGGGTTTTTTTTTCCAGCCAAAAAAACGTTGATTCCAGTCTATGTGTGCATGGACACATAGGATAACATGCTGGGGGGTTTACTAGCTGTAGAAAAAAAGTCAAAAGCCAAAAACAGCAGCTGTAAAAACGTCCAGTGTACATGAGGATTAATGATAAAGCTTTTGCAAAATGCAAAAAATGTTGTATCTCCTCTTGACAAAATGCAATTAAATTAGTTTACTGTATTGAAACAAACTGGATTAAAATATACAGTATTCCATGTTACACCAAACGAGATTATTGTTAAGTGTAGTAGCTGCCAGTCTAAATGAAATATTATAGAGTGGTGTCCAGTTGTTTTTTAAGAGTAAATTCACATAAATCTGAGTTGGGCTTAGATGCTAAGGGATTTGTCATAAATTGTTCCTTATATTTTATTTCAGATCATTTGCAACTCCCAGCTCTTCCATCTACTGTGGCCATTATTTTAAGAATTTCAACAGTGTCTGTCTCTCAAGTGGGTCATTCAGCCAGCCCTTCTGTAATTTCCTTCTGTAACTGCAATATTCATTTAGGTCTGGAGTTAGGCACCTCTTTTTAGAATACATTCATGGGAACTCTACCTTCAAATATTTGCAAGAAAATTCATAAGCTTGAATTCTTGTGGCCATCACTCCACCTAGTATTCTGTCATATGTGTAAGAAGGATCTTCCCCCACCCTTGGAAAAAATGGCAATAATATAAAAAATGGTGCACCTCAACAAGTACACTTACATACTGCATGTCTACTCTCCTTTTTTTCATTTTCAGCCTTTTTCAGGGTGCCTCTATTGTGCCTGTCTTGGTTCCCACATATTGAAAATTAACATCAGGTCTTCACACACAAGGTAATTCTATCGCTCATGTGTGAAATGGAGTGCATGAATACTGTGTGCCTTGTCTCACCCATACGCTGTATGACATTATTAGTCATCTGTTAAAAAAAATAATTTTTTTTGCCAACAGATAAGTGTAATGTCATACGGCGCATGTGCGTGAGGTGGTACAAGACATCATGACGTGGTACATGACATCATGAGGTTCATCTCACACAAGCACAGTATTACAACTCTTTAAGGTCTCACGGCTTAGGTGCAAGTTATCCTTTATGGCACTGGTGATTTGGCCTTCACAAGGGGTGCCTGTGCTTTAGGCCAACCAGAGACGCATGCTGGTGTGAATTTTAGTGAAAGGGGGAAATTATTTCATTATCGTTTTTTTAATTCTAGGAGGTTTTATTAACTGAAGCAGTTTGTCTGCTGACATTTCTGCAAGTCTATGGAGCTTATTTATAAATAAATACTGTGCAGTTATTTGTACTCCATTTACATTATTGCCACTTTTGGGAGTAGTGTTGGGCTACACGTTCGAGTCGAACATTAGTTCGACTTGAAAATCAGGTGTTCGTATGTTAGGCAAACACACAAACATCATGCGTGTTCACCAAATGCTCCCCACAATGCATTGCGCTCTCGCAATGCATTGTGAGTGGCCAAAGGCCATTGGCTTGGGCCAATCACAGCTGAATTCACTGTGAGAGCCATGATTGGCCAAAGTCTCGGTGCCGTAGCAGCCTTGTGAAGTGTTTTGGTGGAGTTAGTTGGGTGAGGTTAGTTAGTGGTGTGGTAGTAGACAGTGTAGCCAGTGTAGTGAGTGTAGTACAGTGCTGTGGAGAAGTGTAGTGGCGTCAGTATTGTTTTTACAGCACTTCTGCATCACCGCTGTTCCCATTTTTTTTTTCTCTTTTTTTTTTCTTTGTTAATTTTTTTTTTTTGCAGCATCTGGTTCTGTTGCTGCATCATTAGTGTCCCCCCTACTGTATCACAGGTGTTCCTCCTTCTGTGTCAGCAATGGTTTTCTTCTTTTTTTTTTTTTTTGCTTTATTAATTAAAATTTTTTAATTTACTTAATTTTTGGCTGCAGCAGCAGCAGCACTAAAACTATGTAGGGCATTATTGATGTTCCTCTTTTGCGTTGCAGGTGTTCCTCCTGCATCAGCAGTGGTTCCCTGTTTTTATTTTTTTTTTGTGCTATCTGCATTTTTTTATTTTTTTATTTTTTTTTGTTGCCGCAGCAGCAGCAAAAATATTGAGGGTATAATTGCGGTTTCTCCTTCTGAATCACAAGTGTTCTTCCTTTTGTGTCACCATTTTTTTTTGGCTTTCTTAATTTTTTTACATTTAGTTTAATTTTTTTTCTGCAACAGCAATAAAATATCTATAATTGCTGTATGCCCTATTTTCTGAAAAAAAAAAATATTAATAATAAAACTGTTTATAGTGCACCAAGCACAAAAGTATTGCACCAAAGCACCAAATTCCAATCCCACAATCAAAAATATAAAGTTATAAAAATCCCCTAAAAAAAAAAAAAAATCGCCATCATATCCGTAAGACCAACAAGGAGCGGCAGACGGTCACAGGCAGCTAAGAGAGGGCAAGCAGCCTCTGTGTCCACAATGAAAAGTGGTGGTCATGGCCATGGTGTATCTTCTGCAGGCAGGGCACACTTGTCCTTTTTTTCTGGTGCTGGTCGTGTTATTGAGCTACAACATGCAGAAGAGGTGGTGGAGTGGATAACTAAGCCATCCTCATCTT